AAGCCCCAGCACTCTTCCCTGCCTATGCAGGGGGTCGGACTCGATGATCTATTGAGGTCCCTTCCGACCCTAACATCTATGAATCTATGAATCTGGGCAGCAGAAGCACATGCAGCAATGTCAGTGGCTGTGCTGCCACCATCAGCTGAGCTTGTAGCACAGCAGCAGCTATTTTTCCACCCCCAGCCCCTCAGCTCTCCCCACAACTCAGTGTCCGGGGCTGGTGCCCTCTTAGCTACATTATGGGTTTATCTGACCAAATGCACTCACCCTAGAAATCTCCTGGTAGGAACTAATTCGTGAAATATTCATTTCCTGCCCAAATTGTGACCTTGATTATGCTGAATGGATTAGTTAATTTGAAGACAGACCCATTGCCTTGCCAGTCATTACATTTGTTCTTTGGTGGTGCAGCACGTGGCATAAAGTGACCTGTAGGCACCACAGTAATAAAAATAAACCCCACACCTCTGTAACCCTATGTGACACCTGATTTTGGTGCCACAAATGGGCAGTGCAGTCCTGGCCCAATGTGAGCCATGCTGCCAAAAGGCTAGCTGAGTTCACAGGGCATCTGAGCCATGTTGTTTCAGTTTCTCCAGCTGCTGCCTGTGTCTGGGAGTTTGTTCTGGGAGGCATCACCTGCCATACTGGACTTGTCCTCTGAAGAGCACTGCAAGCTGACTTTTGGGTGCAGTGCAGGTTGATGTTTGCATTTTGTGATCCCACCTGCTTCTGTCTGATATCCTTCCCTCCCCACACACAAGCTGCATGGTCTGAGGGAAGTACAGTGCTTTTGTGGAAACAGCTGACCCTCACCCCTTGCTTTCTGTATGGAGAAGACAAGTTCTGTGACAGAGGGTCCCCTCCCTACCTGGAGGCAAAGGGTACCATGTGGTTGAGAGAAATTTTGACTCATAGGAAAGAGACATGGGGTCCGATCCTGCTCCTTGTTAGAGCCAATTTGGCACAAGTGACTCCCTCAAGAAATTGCTTTGGTATGTGTTTTACTGACTGTGACTTCCAGAAAGACATCAAGGTCCAGATCTACAATGCAGTCATCATCCCCACTTGCGTCTATGGATGTGAAACGCGGGTGACTTACTGTCATTATCACAAGAGTCTGGAAAGGTATCATCAATGATGCCTCCAGAATCAAATAGGTAGATCAGTGCACAGACAACAACATCCTTGCTGAAGCCAACATTACCAGCACTGAGTCGGTGATCCTCAAGCACCAACTTCATTGGACCAGACATTGTGTGCAGACCCTGACTCAAATCCTAGAACAAGTACTCTATTCCCAGCTTAGTAGCAGCCTGAGATTTTACAGCAGCCAGAGGAAATGCTACAAGTACACATTGAAGGCATACCTCAAGAAAATGGACACTGACATCAAGAGCTGGGAGGAGCTGGCTACTAACCAACTCCAGTGGCACTGCAACCTCAACCAAGCAACAGCCCACTTTGACATAAAGTGTCTTGCCCTCAAAGCAAAGAAGAGAGAGTAAAGGAAGAAAAAGGAGATGAATCCCAGTCTGCATCCTACTCTCCCCTGTGGAAAGACCTACAACTTTTGTGGACAGATCTGTGTCTCAAGGACTGGATGCTTAAGTAATTTCAGGACTTATTAAGCCACGGTAGAGATCATCCTTGAATTGAGGGATTCCCAACAATAATTTAATTTATTATAAAAGGTGATTACCTTTTACTGCAATAGTACTTCAAGCTAGAAATATGGTATCTGTTGCAATTAGGTAATTGTTGGCTTTGGTGACTGTCTTTTTTCTTGGCTGTCATGGTACATTTTCCTTGACCAATTTGCAGGGGAAAAAATCTGAAAGAGAAGCAGAAGAAGAAAATATGAAGAGAAGCAGAAGAACAGTCAACATAAAGGGGAACTGGTTAATATTTTAAATCAAAGTCCCTGTTTTCTTTTCCAAAATAGAAAATAAAAGGGAAAGTGGTGGACAACTCTTCCACTGACAATCACTATTCTCTGCTACTCTGTGGGTGTGTTTACACATGTATTAAGGCACTTTTTCTAATGCTCATTAAATTTAGTACCTCCAATGTGAGGTACTAAAGAAGTGCACAGTAACATGAATGACTGGTGCCTCCCGCGACTGGTGGGGCACCATGGCGGCAAGCGGGGACCGCCCGCAGCCACCACCAGTGGTGTTGCTGGCAGGCAGTGGGGGTGGTAAGCGGTGGGCAGGGACTGTTCACAGCCACGTCAGCAGCAAAGGGCGGGTGGCGACCACCTGCAGAAGCCAGCAGCGGCTTTGGTGGTGGCCAATCTCGGGGGGGGCACATGCCCCCCTGTACCCCTCGTATGCATTGCTTATGCACAGTAAAATAGGCTACTGCTCATTAAAATGCACATGTAGATATTCCCAGTCAGGAGAAGGCTGATTTAAATCTATCCTACTTCAATCTCAGACTGTTACAAAGCAGTCTAGAATAATGAGATCAAGGTTTAGTAGGCTGTCCATATAATCATATACTGGTATTTCCCTTCATTATATTTCTTTTCATTCTTTTAAATCTAGTAAACCCTATTCATCAACTATCACGCTGGCAATGTAGTAGTTTTAGTGGTTTTGAATAATGACAGCAACATAAAAGAGGTTTTCATCCCTTGCAGCTTGATAGAAATGAGTTAGGTATAGAAAAGTGCAGGGAGGTACATTTTAATATGTACATACATATGTATATTTGGGTATAATTAGTTTTATTAGCATTCATTTTCAGATGGTATTTGGTACCAGTTCTCACTAATTTTCAGCTGCCCTTTGTGCCCTTCAAAACTTCCACCCGTTAGTTAAGGGAAATTATAGGCCAGCCAGTCTTACCTCAGTCCTGGACAAGCTTTTTGAGAGAATTATCCTGGCACATGTCTGCAAGGGGCCAGCAGGGGACATTATGCTTAGGGGCACCCAACATGCGTTCATTAGAGGCAGGTCCTGTCAGACCAACCTGGTGGCCTTCTATGACCAGGTCACAAAATCCTTAGACGCAGGTGTCGCGGTGGACATAGTCTTTCTGGACTTTAGGGAGGCCTTCGACACTGTCTCTCACCCCATTCTCATTAAAAAACTAGGAGACTGTGGCGTCAACACCTACACAGTCAGATGGGTCACTAGTTGGCTGGAGGGTCACACCCAGAGTGGTGGTGGACGGGTCTTATTTGACCTGGAGGAATGTGGGCAGTGGGGTTCCGCAGGGCTCGGTCCTCGGGCCCACGCTGTTCAACATCTTCATCAGCGACTTGGACGAGGGGGTAAAAAGCACCCTGTTCAAATTCGCAGATGACACTAAGATGTGGGGAGAAGTGGGCACGCTAGAAGGGAGGAATAGGCTGCAATTGGACCTGGACAGGTTACAGGGGTGGGCGGATGAGAACAGGATGGATTTCAACACTGACAACTGCAGGGTGCTGCACCTGGGGAGGAAGAACCAGCAGCAGACCTACAGGCTGGGGAACTCCCTTCTCATCAGTGCAGAGGCAGAAAAGGATCTTGGAGTCATTATTGATGCCAAAATGAACATGGGCTGACAGTGTGGGGACGTGGTCAGGAAGGCCAACCGCACACTTGTCATGCATCCACAGATGCATCTCAAGCAGGTCCAAGGAGGTGATCCTCCCCCTCTATGCGACACTGGTCAGGCCACAGTTGGAGTACTGCATCCAGTTCTGGGCACCGCACTTCAGGAGGGATGTGGACAGCTTGGAGAGGGTCCAGAGGAGGGCCAACCGCATGATCAGGAGGCAGCAGGGCAGGCCCTACGAGGAGACGCTAAGGGACCTGAACCTGTTTAGCCTCCACAAGAGAAGGTTGAGGGGGGATCTAGTGGCCTGTTACAAACTAGTCAGGGGGACCAGCAGGCATTGGGGGAGTCCGTGTTCCCACGAGCACTACCAGGAATGACAAGAAATAACGGTCACAAGCTGGCAGAGGGTAGATTCAGGCTAGACATCAGGAGGCAATACTTCACAGTCAGGGCGGCTAGGATCTGGAACCAGCTTCCAAGAGAAGTGGTGCTGGCTCCTACCCTGGGGGTCTTTAAAAGGAGGCTGGATGAACACCTCGCTGGGGTCATTTGACCCCAGGACTCTTTCCTGCCATGGCAGGGGGGTGGACTTGATGATCTGCTCAGGTCCCTTCCAACCCTACTAACTATGAAACTATAAAGGCAACTTTTTTACTGGAAAGAAAAAGAAAGTCTTTATGGAAAAGAAGTTTTACAGTATTCTGTAGGAAAGGCCCCAAGTGCTTCCCTGTCACTGCTCATTACTGCTTATTCATTTAGCTCCTTACTGTTGAATCCCGAAGTATTTTGCTGGCTGGGATGCTTACCTTTGAAACACAATCTGCAGCAAATTGATTCAAAATCCACATATTTTAATAACTTTGGCAGGCAATTTACCTATATAAACATCTCATCCAACTGAATTAGAGAAGGCTGCGCAAGCATACAGAGCAGGCTGTTTCCAAAGGCGTAGCCAGGAAATGTTCCTGGAGTTTTCAGTCTTTCCGTAAGTTGAGAAGGTCTCTGCATTAGTAACTGCTGAGAGTCAGAAGATGCCTAATGTTAGTTCTGCTAATACTTGGGGCCTGGACACAATGCTATTGCCAGCCTCAGGAGAGGGAGGTTAGTAGACACCTCGGGTTGTGCCTTTGTGTACATTCCTCCTGGACACAATGAGGGGGAGTCAACAAACAGGCGCCGGGTAATGTGGGGCCCCTGCAGGATATGCTGGGCAATCTGGTGGTTGCGTCAGAGGATAAAGCAGACCTCTTTAACCAATTCTTCACCTCCGTTTTCTTGTGCCGGGACCGGGACTTCCCTGTTGTGATAGAAGCCGGACGCGAGGGGATCGCCTTCAGACCTCAGGTTGGGGAGGACCAGGTTAGAGAGCTTCTGGAGGGGCTGGACGTGTTCAAGTCAGCGGGTCCGGATGCTCTCCACCCCAGGGTGCTGAGGGAGCTAGCTGGGGTTATTGCAGGGCCCCTGGCACGGCTCTACGAGCGATCGTGGTGCTTGGGCCAGGTGCCAGACGATTGGAAGGTAGCTAATGTGGTCCCCATCTTCAAGAAAGGGAAAAGGGAGGACCCGGGCAACTATAGGCCCGTCAGTCTTACCTCAATCCTGGGGAAACTCTTTGAGAAGATCATCAAGGAGCACATTTGTGATGGGCCGGCATCAGAAATGATGCTCAGGGGCAATCAGCATGGATTTATTAGGGGGAGATCATGTCAGACCAACCTGATTGCCTTTTATGATCAGGTCACAAAGGCCATGGACGCAGGTGTCGTGGTGGATGTAGTCTTTCTGGACTTCAGCAAGGCCTTTGACACCGTCTCTCACCCCATCCTAATTAATAAACTAGGCGGCTGTGGCATAGATGCCTACACGGTCAGATGGATTGCAGATTGGCTGAAGGGTCGCACTCAGAGGGTGGTGGTGGATGGATCATACTCGACTTGGGGGGAGGTGGGTAGTGGAGTCCCCCAGGGCTCGGTCCTGGGGCCTGCGCTGTTCAATTTCTTCATCAGCGATCTTGATGTTGGGGTGGAGAGCAACCTGTTTAAATTCGCTGATGACACCAAAATTTGGGGGGAGGTGAGCACGCTAGCAGGGAGAGAGAGATTGCAGAAGGATCTGGATAGGTTACAGGGGTGGGCAAACAGGAACAGGATGTGTTTCAATACGGACAAGTGCAGGGTGCTGCACTTGGGTAGTAGGAACCAGCAGCACACTTATACGATGGGGAACTCCCTACTTGAGAGCACGGAGGCGGAAAGGGATCTTGGTGTCATTATTGACTCCAAGATGAACATGGGCCGACAATGCGAGGTCATGGTTGGCAGGGCTAACCGGACCTTGTCGTGCATCCACAGGTGCATCTCGAGTAGAGCCAGGGAGGTGATCCTCCCCCTCTATGCGACGCTGGTCAGGCCGCAGCTGGAGTATTGTGTCCAGTTCTGTGCGCCCCATTTCAGGAGGGATGTGGACAACATGGAGAGGGTCCAGAGGAGGGCCACCCGCATGATCCGGGGACAACAGGGCAGACCCTACAGTGAGAGACTGCGGGACCTGAACCTATTCAGCCTCCACAAGAGAAGGCTGAGGGGGGACCTGGTGACCGTCTATAAACTCACTAGGGGGAACCAGAAGGGTTTGGGGGAGACGCTGTTTCCCCTAGCCCCCACTGGCATAACAAGGAATAATGGGCACAAGTTGATGGAGAGGAGGTACAGATTGGACATCCGAAAAAACTACTTCACAGTTAGGGCGGCTAGGAGCTGGAACCAACTTCCAAGGGAGGTGGTGCTGGCCCCTACCCTGGGGATCTTTAAGAAGAGGCTGGATACCTACCTGGCTGGACTCATTTGAGTCCCGTTTTTTGTTTAGGATTCTTTTGTTGTTCTCCCGCCCTGGCTGGGGGTCGGGCTAGAAGATCTATTAGGTCCCTTCCGACCCTTAAACTATGAAACTATGAAACAGCAGCCATGGCTTGGCACAGCCCTCACCCTGGCTGAAAAGATGGAGCAGGAGGAGGAATTTGCTCAGTTCTTCTAGTTAAAAGGCTGAAAGAAAGGTTTTGTGCCTGATATCTGGGATGCCCTTTCGATCAGAGAGGAATGCACCCATTAGGCACTGCACAAAGGAAATTTCAATCCCTTTGGAGAAGCCCAAGCAACAATTACATTTGGAAAGGGAGAAAAATGCCTCTTCAAAGCGGGTCAATAAAATGGATCAAGGGAACACAGCTGAGCACAATAGCCCAGCAAGTACATAGGGCAGCAGCTCCTCACAGCATGTTTACAGAAGGTAAAAGAACAAGGCAACGTCATTGGCAGTTATGTCTGGTTCAGTCTCTGCAATCTGTTAATATCCTGAGCTGCTCACTGTTTTCCATTATTCTTTACTAAAGAATACAGGGGTGTAGGTTGTAGCTGTGTTGGTCTAAGGACATAGGCAGACAAGGTTCCTTGGGTAAATCTGATATCTTTTATTAGACAAACTTAAGTAGCTGGAAAAAAAAATTTAGCAAGCTTTCGGGTTTAAAAACCCTTCATCAAGCTGAGGAAGTATCTGCAGTTGGTGCATGCTCTTCCTGGATGGAATGAATAATAAAGAAGCCAGAGGCTGGACTGGTGCAAGACAGGCATGCAAGACAGGCAGCCAGTGAAA